ATACACACAGGGAGTGAATACAACGAAAAAATTACAGCTACTGTACCATGTAAATATGGTTTAATGAATTTACATGTACCAGGTTGAAGAGATTCACAATCTCAAGGGTAATAAAAAACTGACATATACTGAAGGTTGGAATAGATATTTCTTAGCAGCTTAACAGTTAATAACAGTCTCAGGTCACAGTTTAGTGAAGACAATATGTCTACTACAATGATGCATTAAGATCAATATTTGTGGAACAACATATTCATATCCCTATTGTTCAATTATTAATGAATAAGTCATATAGATTTAAGTATAAAAATACATAAGCAAATTTACAGTTAAATTTATGACACAATTTACCAAAGAAAAATAGGTACAAGTCTCTTAGGTTCCTGTGTGAACTGTCCTCTTTACTACTGAAATGTCTGCTTAACCATGGATACTCTGACAATCCTGGTATGGAAGGATTTAATGAAGCAAGTTTCATGAGCAAGTGGAAGGTACAGTACGTACACTCTAATGGAGAGGTGGGGCTGTTGTGGTTCAAAGTGTCATTTGAATTGTGATGTCCATGGATTTGTGGCAGAACAGCTATTGAATAAGTGATGGTGAGTGTATTTCCATTTTTTAGGCCACTCTACCTTCGTGAATAAAAAAAGACTGATGTGGAAAAAACAAATAAATAATGATGAAAAGACAACACTTTCAATATAGTGTAGCTGTATGAGTAGTAACAAAATAGTGTAGCTGTATGAGTAGTAACAAAATAGTGTAGCTGTATGAGTAGTAACAAAATAGTGTAGCTGTATGAGTAGTAACAAAATAGTGTAGCTGTATGAGTAGTAACAAAATAGTGTAGCTGTATGAGTAGTAACAAAAGTGTGGCTGTATGAGTAGTAACAAAATAGTGTAGCTGTATGAGTAGTAACAAAATAGTGTAGCTGTATGAGTAGTAACAAAATAGTGTGGCTGTATGAGTAGTAACAAAATAGTGTAGCTGTATGAGTAGTAACAAAATATACTGAGGTCAACAAACAATAATCTTCAATTAATTTCCTTTCCCTAGTGTACTATCCAGTTTTACATGAAACAAAAAAGTGCAGGCAATGAGGCCATTTTACACTTAATGTAAAATTGTAGCTGTCAGTACCTTACTGACACATTACATTATGTACCTGTAAGTCTTTCATTTCCAGAGATGACATGAAACTGAGTACTCTAGCATATTCTACTTAAATTATAAAATAAGGTACCCGAGTCAAAAGTTTGATGTTATACTACCAAAATGGCTGAGTGTATGAAGAAAGTTTTGTTATACTACCAAAATGGCTGAGTGTATGAGAAAGTTGTTATACTACCAAAATGGCTGAGTGTTTTGAAGAAAGTTGTTATACTACCAAAATGGCTGAGTGTATGAAGAAAGTTGTTATACTACCAAAATGGCTGAGTGTATGAAGAAAGTTGTTATACTACCAAAATGGCTGAGTGTATGAAGAAAGTTGTTATACTACCAAAATGGCTGGGTGTATGAAGAAAGTTGTTATACTACCAAAATGGCTGAGTGTATGAAGAAAGTTTTGTTATACTACCAAAATGGCTGAGTGTATGAAGAAAGTTTTGTTATACTACCAAAATGGCTGAGTGTATGAAGAAAGTTTTGTTATACTACCAAAATGGCTGAGTGTATGAAGAAAGTTTTGTTATACTACCAAAATGGCTGAGTGTATGAAGAAAGTTTTGTTTTTACTACCAAAATGGCTGAGTGTATGAAGAAAGTTTTGTTATATACCAAATGGCTGAGTGTATGAAGAAAGTTTTGTTATACTACCAAAATGGCTGAGTGTATGGAGAAAGTTTTGTTATACTACCAAAATGGCTGAGTGTATGAAGAAAGTTTTGTTATACTACCAAAATGGCTGAGTGTATGAAGAAAGTTTTGTTATACTACCAAAATGGCTGAGTGTATGAAGAAAGTTTTGTTATACTACCAAATGGCTGAGTGTATGGAGAAGTTTGTTTATACAAAATGGGCTGAGTGTATGGAGAAAGGCTGTTTTTATGGCAAACCTTATTTCAGTATTTCATCCAGGACTGGACTTAGCAAGTTTACAAACACAGATATTCTGTCATATTCTGTCTTATAAGGTAAACAAGCACCCTAAGGTCACCAAGACTTTGAGTGCATCTTATTTTTAAGTGCATGCATGCTGCAATGTATATGATATTTGTATGTGTGTGTATGTTTGTATGTTTTGGTTGTTTATGTATGTTGTATGTTATGTGTGTGTTTTTATGAGTGTGGTGTTGTATGAGTGTATGTGTGTGTGTATTTTTATGTGGGTATTTGGGGTATGTGTTGTAATGTATGTATTGTATGGTGTTTATGTAGAGTGTATGTGTATGTTTGTTGTGGGGTGTGTGTGTGGGTGTTGTGTTGTGTGTGTGTGGGTGTGTGTGTGGTGTGTGTATGTGTATGTGCGTTTTGTGTGCATGTGTGTGTGTGTGTGTGGTGTGTGTGTTTTGGTGTGTGTGGGTGTGTGTGTATGTGTTTATTTGTGGTGGTGTGTTTGTGTGTGTGTGTGTGTGTGTGTGTGTGTGTTGTGTGTGGTATTGTGTGTATGGCATGTGTAGTGCATGGTTTGTGGTTGTCAGGTGTGTGCATGTGTGTGTGTGTGTGTGGGTGTGGTGGTGGTGTGTGTGTGGTGTTTGTTGTGTGTATGGTTTTTGTGTTTTGTGTGTGTATGTGTGGTTGTGTGTGTGTGTTGTTGTGTGTGTAGTGTGTTTTATGGGTGTATGGTTGTTTGTATGTGGTGGTATGTGTGGTATGTGTGTGTATGTGTACGAAGTATGAAAGTTCAGTCTCGGACAAATACTTAATGTTTCATTGCTAACCCCAGGTCTTTCTCCTCTCTGTCGCTTTCCCACTTTTCCCATTAACTCATTTCTTTTTAACTGGCCTATTTGCCAGGTAATGTTTAAACTTTCCCCCCCTAAAGGGGGAGAAGGAATTCTTCCCCCGTAAACCACGTGTCGAAGAGGGACTAAAATTCCAGGGAAACGCTAATCCCCCCTTTCTCCTGGGAAATTACAAATTAAAAAAAAAAAATTTTAATTTTTCTTTTTAGGTACCCGCCTAGGGGGGTGATATGTCAGTCTTTTCGAAAAAAAAAAAAAATTTTTTCTGAAAACCCTGTTAGTTAGATATAAACTTTTCTTTCTTGTACCTCCTGACCTACACTTATGTTTATCTGAGGCTTTTTAACAATATTTCTTAGGTTGTCAAAGGAACTTTCAATGCACGCTGTATCCCCCGAGGGGGGGGGCCAAAAGGAAAAAAAGAATGTTTCTCCTTTTACATTTTTTAAAAAACAAGGAGGGGATAGCCCCTTCCTCCTGACGTTTTAGTCCCTCTTATGACAGCATAGCTTATGGGGGAAAAATTCTATTCACTTCCCCTTGGATAGAGGGAAATAAAAAACGAATAGACAAAAAATAGAAAAAAACCCAGAAAGGGGGTGTGTGTTTATTTAAAATGTTTGTACGCATATTATGTGACCAAAAAGAAAGTAAAAGAGAAGGTACCGAAATCTTGATGTTTTGAACAGAAAAAAAAAAAACCAGCAATTCTTCCATCATTTAAAACAATTACATGCTTCTTTTTACACTCACTTTGGAGGGGCCGGGAGTACCCCCCTGAGGGGTTGCTGTTACCAAAATACTACCACGATTGTAAAAAAAGTACTGTCTTAATACGTTATAAAAAATTTATGAATAAATAATGACCAACCCTGATATATTATTAATTTTATATATTTATATATATTATATATTTATAATATAATATATATATATTTTTTTTTGTTTGGTTTTTGTGGTTTTGGGGTGTGGTGTGTGTTGTGTGTGTGTGTGTGAGAGAGAGAGAGGGGAGAGGAGAGAGAGAAGAGAGAGAGAGAAAAGGGGAGAGGAGAGAGAGGGGAAGAGGGAAAAGAGGAGGGAGAGAGAGGGGAGAGAAAAGAGGGAGAGAGAGGGAGAGAGAGGGAAAAGAGGGAGAGAGAGGGAGAAGAAGGGGGGGAGGGGAAGAGGAGGGGAGAGAGAGGGAGAGAGAGAGGGGAGAGAGAGGGGGAGAGAGAGAGAGAGGGGAGGAGAGAGAGAGGGGGGGAGAGGGGGAGAGAGGGGGGAGAGAGGAGAGAGAGAGAGATGAGGAGGGGAGGGGGGAGAGGGAGAGAGGGAGAGGAGGGAAGAGGGGGGTGGGAGGGAGGAGAGGGAGGGGGAGAGGGAGAGAGGGGGAGGGGGGGGGAGAGAGGGGGGGAAGGGGGGAGAGAGAGGGAGAGAGAGGGAGAGAAAGGGAAGAAAGGAGAGAGGAGAGAGAAGGGAGAGGAGGGGAGAGAGAGGGGGAGAGAGGGGGAGAGAGGGGGAAGGAGGAGGGGAAGAAGAAGGAGAGAGAGAGGGAAAAGGAGGAGAGGGGAGAGAGAGGGAGGGGGAGAGAGGGAAAAGGAGAGGGGGGGGGGGGGGGCTGCAGCCAAACAAGTTGATTTTTTAAAAATTTATATTTTTTAATCTTTAAAATTTTATTTTACTCAAATGCACATGTAGGGGGCTAATTTTGTTTGGTAAAAATTAGTAAAATTTAAATAAATGTATTTGTCCTTTTAAAACTAGCCCTGTGGTATTGGGATAGTTTTGCACCCCAACCCTAAGGGCCCCGGCTTTCTTTTTGACCACGGTAAACTAAGCTGTTTGCGCTATTGGAAACCAAGGCCCAAATAGCCCCCACAATCTGGTGAATCCAGCACTTGTAGAGTTAATATACCCGTTTAATATAAATAAATAATATATACACACCCCAAAATAAAATGTATAAACACCACATACTACTATATTTTTAAAAATATCAAACTTCCTGTCAGAAAAAATTTATACTTGGTTCCAAGTATAAATTTTTTTTAAAAATCATTTTCTCAAACAAACTTTCAACAAAACAACAATTATTTTTCCTAAAAACTAAATACCATTTGTTAAAAAAAAAATGATTCTCACAGTTTTTGTATATAGGCCTTTAATTCGTTTTTAATCACATAATATCACCTCCCTATATGTCAAGGGAAGAATCTGATCATGTCAAAATAGAAAACTGGCAATAATGGTTTACAATCTACTCTTATGGTTCAATTGTTGTTGATTATTTACAGAATAAGATTCAGTAAGACACTGCAAAATAGAACTATGCACAATAAAGATAACATCCAATGAGACATGATCAAGATAACCATAAAAATTTTGAATGACCACATATTTCTGTAAAGCTTCTCCTGCAGGTCCTCCTAACATTGAGAATCAGTCCCATGTTTGAAGCAATGGTGGTGCTGTTCTGGTGTGCCTGCTGATGAGCCTCACATGCTGGAAAAGGCTACCCCCACAAAGAATGAATCATATGAGCCAAAGTGGTTACCACCCAAACTACCACAAAAGAAGTCTTCCATATCCATAAAGCCATCATCCTGCATGTGTGGAGTGTGGGTTCTCAATTTAACCCCATAACTGTCTAAATGTAGATCTACATTGTTACCGCAAACGCTCCAAACATAGATCAATGTTTTATTTTTCCTGCCTCCAAATTTGGCATGAATGGCCTGAGATGCCTGGCCAGTACGGAATGTGTCTTAACATTCGGTGTGAGCAGTATTAAAGAAATCTGGGACCACTTAGTACCCTGTGGGAGCACCAATTCAATTATTGCCAGTTAGAGCAAACAGTGTGACAAACACCAGGGATTCACTGATGTCATGTCCTATTAACCTTTTCAGGGTCCGTGCCGCATTTCTACGACTCTGAGTTCTGGGTCCAAACCATAGTTCTACGCCATGAGCTCAGCTCACTTAGATAAGCTGTGAGCAGTAAATTTGGACCTAGATATGAGAGAATACTGTACATTTATGTGGCATGTGTGTGCACCACATAAAACAAATCCCGCACCACACAGTACATAATGAGAGAAAAAAAAAAAAAAAAAGAGTCCATAATTTTAGATTAAAACAGAGATTTTGCGGTGTTTTTTCATATGTTTTTTATAGTTGTATGTGCGATTTCTTGATCTCATTTGATTGGATGGAAAATATATTACATAAATAGAAATAATTTTGATTGGTTTTAGTACTGAAAACGGCTTGAAACTGAGCTCAAAGTAGCGGAAATGTTAAATTTTTGCCGATGTTCGAGGGTAAACAAATCGCATCACTCATCCAGTACACGTCAGCTGATGGGTATTATGTGTGTTCACAAATGCACTGATATTATTTATACAATTATTACATAACAGTAAATCTTCCATTTTTTTATTTGAATAAAAATTCATTGTTAATAAAAAATCAAAATGGAATTCATTTGTAAAGCCTGAAAACGTAACTAATGAACAGAGGAAATGTTACTTTAGTGAAAGGGATGCCTGCACTGTTTATTCTGGAAGCTATTTTGAAATAGGAATATTTTGAACTTTGTGATAAATTGGCCAAATTACCAATTTCTGATCACTTTATTGGGTAGTTGAAACAGTTGACTTGGTGATTTCTTGTGCTAAATCGATAAAATAGAAGTAATTCTAGTGAAGTGGCTAAGAATTTGGTTGACTGGAATAATGTAATTGGCTTAAAATGGGAGTCAAAGTCGGCAAAATCGCTGATGCGTAAATATCGCTGATGCATCAAAATTTGCGAGAGCATAATTTCGTCAATTTTCCATCAAATTTTGTACTTTTTTTTTGTTTTGTTTTATTAACCCTTTCAGGGTCCAAGGCCAAAATCTGAAGTCACGCACCAGTGTCCAAGAATTTAAAAAAAAAAAAAATTATTTTTTCTTATGAAATCGTAGAGAATCTTTTTGTGAAGGTAATAAAACAAAAAGTACGAAATTTGGTGGAAAATTGACGAAATTATGCTCTCGCGAATTTTGATGTGTCAGCGATATTTACGAGTCGGCGATTTTGCCAACTTTGACTCCCATTTTAGGCCAATTACATTATTCCAATCAACCAAATTCTTAGCTATTTCACTAGTATTACTTCTATTCTATCGATTGAGCACAAGAAATCGCCAAATCAACTGTTTCAACTACAAAATAAAGTGATCGGAAATTGTTAATTTGGCCAATTTAACACAAAGTTCAAAATATTCCAATTTCAAAATAGGCTCCAGAATAAACAATGTAGGTATTCCTGGAACTAAACTAACATTTCCTCTGTTCATTAGTTACATTTTGAGGCTTTACAAATAAATTCCATTTTGATTTTTTATTCACATAATGAATTTTTATTCACACCAAAAAATAGAAGATTTACTGTTATGCAATACTGTAATAATTGTATAAATATCATCACCATATTTGTGAATGTATATTAGACCCACCAGCTGACGTGTATTAGAGTGTGAGGTCGTTTGTTTACTCTTGAATATCGGCAAAAAATTAACATTTCCGCTACTTTGAGCTCAGTTTCAAGCCATTTCCAGTGCTAAAACCAATCAAAATCATCTCTATTTCTGTAATATGTCTTCCATTCTATCAAATGAGACCAAGAAATTGCAAATACAACTATAAAAAACATACGAAAAAACACTGCAAAGTTGCTGTTTTAATCGAAAAATCATGATTTCAGTTTTTTTCTCTCATTATACACAGTGTGCTGCAGGATCTGTTTTATGTGGTGCACACATACCACATAGATGTATTCTCTCATATCTAGGCCCAAATGTACCACTCACAGTTTATCAGAGTGAGCTGAGCTCATGGCGTAGATCTACAGTTTGGACACTCACCGTAAAGCCGTAGATCTACGGGACGGACCCTGAAAGGGTTAATGTCAGAAAAAGGTTCTCTACCATTTCATAAGAAAAAAATAACTTTTTTTTTGTGTGTGTGAAATTTCTTGGACCCTGTGGAAACGTCTCAGGTGTTGGGTCTGGACCCTGAAAAGGTTAACACTCCCCTTTTAAAAGGAAAGTGATGTTGACCCTGAGTTTAGTGGCTTTGAGATGGATGTGGCCACAAGTGGTCGAGGCAGACAGATAAGCAGAGACAGAGATAAACAAAGACAGGCTAGACAGTAGACAGACATATTTATGTGCAACAGTGAAAACAAAGCCAAGGCAGTGCATGATCATCAGATGTTGCTCCACTGCTGCACTGTCAGCAGTGTTGTGACACTGTCAGCAGTGTTGTGACACTCGTCTTACACCATGCTTCAAGGAGTTTCATTTATACTCCAATATGGCTACTGGGTGCTACACTAGTATGGCTACTGGGTGCTACACTAGTATGGCTACTGGGTGCTACACTAGTATGGCTACTGGGTGTCACTTTCAGCAACACTAGTATGGCTACTGGGTGCCACTTTCAGCAACACTAGTATGGCTACTGGGTGCCACTTTCAGCAACACTAGTATGGCTACTGGGTGTCACTTAGCAACACTAGTATGACTGGGTGCCACTTTCAGCAACACTAGTATGGCTTTCTGGGTGTCACTTTCAGCAAAATAGTATGGCTATGGGTGCCACTTTCGCAACACTAGTATGGCTACTGGGTGTCACTTTCTCAACACTTTGTATGTCTACGGGGCCACTTTCAGACACTAGTATGGCTACTGGGTGCACTTTCAGAACATAGTATGGCTATGGGTGCCACTTTCAAACAACACTTGTATGCTACTGGGTGCCCACTTTCAGCAACACTAGTATGGCTACTGGGTGTCACTTTCAGCAACACTAGTTTGTCTAATGGGTGCCACTTTCGCAACACTAGTATGGCTACTGGGTGCACTTTCGCAACTTTGTATGGCTACTGGGTGCCCCTTTCAGCAACACTTGTATGGCTACTGGGTGCCCCTTTCAGCAACACTAGTATGGCTACTGGGTGTCACTTTCAGCAACACTGGTTGGCTACTGGGTGCCACTTTCAGCAACACTGGTATGGCTACTGGGTGCCACTTTCAGCAACACTAGTATGGTACTGGGTGCCACTTTCAGCAACACTAGTATGGATACTGGGGTGTCACTTTCAGCAACACTGGGATGGCTTTCTGGGTTTCCACTTTCAGCAACACTGGTATGGCTACTGGGTGCCACTTTCAGCAAAAACTGGTATGGTACTGGGTGCCCCTTTCAGCAAAAACTAGTATGGTACTGGGTGTCACTTTCAGCAACCACTAGTATGGCTACTGGGTGTCACTGTTTAGCAACACTGGTATGGCTATGGGTGCACTTTCAGCAACATTGTATGGCTACTGGGTTTCCACTTTCAGCAAACTAGTATGGCTACTGGGTGCCACTTTCGCAAAACTAGTATGGCTACTGGGTGCCCTTCAGCAAACACTTTGTATGGCTTTCTGGGTGCCATGATTGCTGGTAGATACAAGATATATAATTAAATATCATAACACAATTCACAAACACAGCTCCTTGTAGCAGAGCAACACTGAACTGCACACTTGTGAATTATGACCACTGGTTAGTGAGGGAGGGGGGGAGGGTGCCCAGGGAGGGGGGAGGGTTGCCCAGGGAGGGGGGGGGTTGCCCAGGGAGGGGGGAGGGTTGCCCAGGGAGGGGGGAGGGTTGCCCAGGAGGGGGGAGGGTTGCCCAGCTGCCCACAAACATGGCAAGCGCTTGAGCAAAAGAGAAAAATTTTTCCTTCCACAAAACTGAACCTGTTAAATTAATTATACGACGTGTTAAAATAAATTGTGCAGAATTATTAATTATTATATTAACAATAGTGTTTCAGTTCCTAAATTAATAATTTAATAATAATAATAATAATAATAAAGAGCTTCAGTTCCCTAAATTAATAATTTATAATAATTAATAAAAATAATAATAATAATAATAAGAGGCTTCAGTTCTTAAATTTAATAATAATACTAATTTTTTATTATTTTTAAAATAGAGCTTCAGTTCCCTATATTAATAATAATAATTTAATATTGCATAACACATACATAAAAATAATTCAGAAATTTCTTCTGCTAGTTGACAAGCGGTGGCACAGCTGGTGGCACAGCTGGTGGCACTGCTGGTGGCACAGCTGGTGGCACAGCTAGTGGCACAGCTGGTGACACAGCTGGTAAGCAGTAAACATGTTTACATCACTGTGGCAGTAGTTCTCTCGTGCTTGTTTGCATTTTTTAGAGTCATTTGGCCAAATTTCTTTTTTCTAATCATGAGTCCTAAGAAAATAAGTACAAAGGACAGTGCTGGGAAGAAAAGGACGATGATTTCCATCAACATCCCCCACCCACAATTTATATGAACAGTTTTTATAAGATATTTCTTATTTATAAATACATACATTGCTTCAGTGTTTTCCTTAGAAAACTAATGATCTACTGCAGTTAGCCTCAAAAATGCTCTGTTTTCTCTTACAGTAAGAACATGGGAAGATAATATAGCCAAATTGGGGCAGAAATGGTGGACACTTCTGCCGCTGCCACCATATTATGGCCTATTTTATTCATTCTAGGGTATATATCATGTTTCTGTGCTAATTATATTGTTCATTATGTCATATTAGATGAATTATGATAGATAAATAAGCCGTAGAGTTGATAATAGTGTCATATTCAAGTATTTTTTCTCATCTCTTCAGAGTGCAAGAACGGATTAATGGCTTTTCAATTAATTTAAATGAGGAAAATTAATTTGATATATGAGTAAATTGAGTTACAAGCTAGCTCCTGGAATGGATTAAACACATAAGTCAAGGTTCCACTGTATTCGGAGCGCTGGGCAAAAGAACGTAGATCTACATTTGGACAGTTAAGGGGTTAATTTTAAAAAAGTTTTTCTTTTTTTCAAAATATTTGTAGCGCTGGGTGAGAGAACATAGATGTACACTTGGACAGTTAAGAGGTTAAAAGTTAAGCTACATACTATAATACTAAGTCATCTTTTAAACAACAAAAAGTTTTCATTTGTTCAAACAAAATACTGCAAGACAAATTAATATAATTTTTTGAATGAAAATATTTAACTTTAAATTTAAGTCCAGAATACTTTATTTGGAGAAAAAAGAATCAGTTCAAAGAGTTAATTTTGTTTAAAAAAAACTTCATACCTGCATTCCCCCCCCCCCCCCCAAAAAAAAAAAAAAAAAAAAAAAAATGACATATCTACAAATATCAATTTTCTGTAATTAAAACATTACATTCATTCTAAAGTTTCATGTAGCCTACCTCATCAATCAGTGTCGCTTTCATCAAAGTTGTAGCCAACAGACTCACTGGACCAATCCTCTGGTATACCTGATAAACAAAATCAAATTTGTTTTTATTTTTTTGCAAGTTTACAATGAGATTGACATAGAAAGTTTACAGTGTGCAATTACAATGATGATTTGGCATTACAGGCAGACTAAATTTAATGGTTTACAGACTACAGTGGTACCTTGAGTTACAAACTTAATTTGTTCCAGAAGACTGTTAGTGCCGTATGAACGTTTTTGTTCCCTAAGGGGATAATGTAAATTAGATTAGTCCATTTCCCCCCCCCCAAAAAAACACTATTAAAAGAAAATTACAAAAATACCCTTAACAATTTTGGGGGGCTGTTCAAAACTAGGTCCACTAACAGTGGCCCCCACTACGTTGGATCACATAACGTTAAATCCGCATCCCGCTATTTTTTATCGTTTAAATTTCCCCGCTCCCTTTAAAAAAAACCGTCAATGCTTTTTGTCGGCACGCCCAAGGGGCCCCCTGCCAGCCTCCCATGTTCCCCCCCGGTGGCTTGTTTCAGCCAGCCTCCCGGTAACATAAAGCTACATGGGGAACTTTCGTATTATTACAGTTTTTTTTGGTGATTTTTTTCTGCAAATAAGTGACCATGGGCCCCAAAAAAGTTTAGTGCCAACCTACAGCAAAAAGGGTGAGAATTCTATGAGGGGAAAAAAGGATCTTTGATAAGTATGAAAGTGGAGTGGTGTCTCCGGGGGCCCAGGTTGAAAAAAACCCCCAATAAAACCTAGCCTTTTTGTGGGCAACAAAAACCCCCAAAAGGAGCTGTTCTTCCCAAGGGTTTTTTAACGGGTTTTTTCAAAACAGAGACCCAAGTGGGAAGTGTTGAGAGACTTTTTACGGGTGTGGATAAAAAAAAAACAGCTAGGGCGATAGGTCTCTCAAGTGTTTAAAAAGGGAAAAAGGGGGTTGCATGAGGTTTTAAAATTAAAAAAAATCCCGCAATAGTATGATGTGAGTGAATTAAGGGCCCAGCAAAGGTTTTTTTGGAGTTTTTAAGAAGCGTAGTGGCATACATGGTGTAAGGCAAGGTGAGGCTCCCAGTTGGACAAAAAGCAGCTAAAAATAGTGCAGGAATTAAGGTCATAGACAATAAAGGAAAAACCTGCAAGTTTTTTAATTGTGAGAAACGGCTGTTTTGGAAAGAAAATCCCAAGCAGGACCACTTTCTAGGAGGAAAAGGACCCCCAGGCATAAGCCTATGAAAGAAGGCTTACTCTTTTATGTGTTCCAATGCTATGGTGATTGCAAAGTTAAGTTCAAATTTTCTTTTCAGTTAGGAAATTTTTCACATTGGGGGCAAAGATGGTGAACCCAGATAAAAAAAGCCCCTAGTGCCCCATGCCTATTTTTCCCCTCCACAGCACACACAAATTCCCCCTTGGGACTTTATTTTCCCGAAGGGGTCTGGGGTTTCAGAGTGATACACAAAAAAAGGTTAAGTGCCTCCGGTGTTAGACAACCCCCTGTAACCCTACAGACGTGGCAGAGCGACTTTTTGGGGACTGAAATTCTTAAAGGTGAAGTTTTTGCTCCTAATACCACTCCTCCCCTCACCCCATGGACCAGAGGTTATTGAAACTTCAAAAACTGTACACAAAAGCTTGTTGAAGGTGCTTTAGTGACCCGAAACTCAATGACTCTAAGGGGTTTTTGGGAGAGTCATTTAATATCCTCAATTGTTAAACCCTTATGGGAAAGGTTTTGGGGGGGAGTGACAAAGGGCCCTTAAACTTGCTTGGAAGAAAAATGGGGCCCAGATGTTGTAGCCAAAGGGTTTTTAAAGGTTTTGGGCTAACCCCTGAGAATCCTATCCCATTTGAGGAATCATTATGGCTTGGAAAGCCCTTTGGGGGTTGGAGGTTAGTGGGTTTGATGTGGAGGGGTTGGTGGAGGGGACAATGAAGAACTAACCATGGAGCTGATAGACCACTTAAAACCCCAAGAGGCAGCCCTGAGGAAACTGGTTCAAAGGGGGGGAGAGAAATTGAAGAAATTGCCATACAAAGTTTAAGGGAAATCTGTGGAAAGTGGCTTGAAGTTAAAACCCTTCTGGTAAAATCACCCTCACAAGCTATTGCAACCCGTGCTGGTGACTATTACATGAAAATGTTGGAAACCTTTGGAAAAGTAAAAAGGGAAAAGGAAGGTCGGCCATTGGACAGATTTGTTGGCGCAAAACCCCGTGATTTAAAAGCTGGCCCTAGTGGCATTAAAAGAAAAAGGGGAAAGTAACCCAAAAAGGACTTGAACCTCAAGTCTTAAGGGAAAGGGGGATTCCCTTCAAAACCCACTAACACTCTCTCCTCCCACCCCCATCAATCATCCCAGATCTTAAATAAAGTAGTGTCATGTAATTGTGCTGCCTTTTCAGTTTTGTGTAAAAAATTATTTTCATGTGGAAAAATTTTTTTTTTTCATACTTTGGGGTGTCTTGCAGGTTTAATTGATTTCCTTTAATTTCTTATGGGGAAAAATTCATTCCATAACGATAATTTCGCAAAAACAATGAGCTCTCTTGCAGGATTAATATCCTATGCGGGGTCCACTGTACTTAACTAGAAAAAAATATACAGTGGTCCCCGCTTTGTAGTTCTCGGAAAATCGAAAAATTGCCAATAAAGGGGGTATTTTTTATATAAACATGGATCGTTTTTTAAAGGTTGACTGCGGTTTTTTTCGCCCAGGACGCGTACCACAGTGTAAAACAGGGCAGCGCCGTCGGGCTTTGTTTCCCCGTGGAAAAGGGCCCCCTCACTGCCCAGGAAATATTTATAATCCTTTTTTTTTAGTGCTTGCAAGTACAAATAAGCTACCATGGCCCAAAGAAAGCTCCTAGTCCCAAAGCCGGGGTAAAAAAGGTGAGAAATCGATTAAATTTTAGAAAACCATCATTGAAAAATTAAAAGTGTAAAGTGTGCCGAACTGCCCGGATGTATAAGAAAACCCCGTTGTTGTGTGTTGTTGCAAAGGGGTATCTATGCGACAAAATGAGATCACCAGTCGGAAGGGGTTGAGAAGTTTTATTGGTGGGGATAATGAGAAAAATTAGCAGGAGATACTCTTTTGACTTCGATTATTTGTGAAAAGGCTAGGCCGTTTCTGAAAATTTGGTAAAGAAATTGCCTGCAATAGGGTGATGTGAGTGAATTTAAGGCCAGCAAAGGTGGTTTGAGAGATTTAAGAACCGTACTGGCATAAAGTGTGGTAAAACATGGGGTGGCTGCCAGTTGGACCCCAAAGGGGGCTGAAAAAAATGGATGAATTTAGGGTACATAGAAGGGTGAAGGCTGAAACCTGAACAGTGTTCAATTGTTTTACGAAACAGGCCTCTTGGAAAAAAATGCCAAAGAGGGGGGCCTTCATTCACTAGGGAAAAGGCAAAGCCAGAAAAGCCTATGAAAGACAGGTGATGCTAAAGTTCTGTGTAAAGCTAGTGGGGTTTAAAAAGGAAACCATTCTGTGTACCATTAGAAAAACCAGGTGTTAGGGAAAAAAAAAAAGTTATGAGAGTAAAATTGTGTGTTTTGGAAAAACTAATGTAAGGTTGGGTCACGGGGAAATTTTCGTCGGGGTTAATGAAGTGCTTGGCCCAGTGTGAAGGGGTATCCCGGAAAAAAAATTGGGTCTCAAGTGCCTGCTAGTAATGGGCAAAGCACCCGTCATCCTCCAACTTGGATGACCCAATTTTTGAGGAGTTTGGGTTCATCCAGTAAAGTTCTTGCCCCGAACCATCCCCTTCCCCCAGCCCCTGGACCAGCAGGTATTGCAAACTTTAAAAAAACCACACAAAGCAATGTTTCCAGGTGCTTTACTGTGACCCCAGACACTCCTTGACCCTAAGGGAATTTTGGGAGAGAACACTTCAGCATCCCCCATTCATAACCTTATAGGTATGGTTGGGGGGATTGTACAGGACTTTGAACTCTGCCGGAGAAAATTGTGGCCAGGTTTTGCGACAAAAGGGGTTTTGAAAAGGGTTGGGGGCTGACCCCGAGAGCCCATGTTGTTGTAAAAACAAAGTGGCACTGGGAGTTCCGGGGGCGATGTGAGTTTGGAGAATGTGGAAGAATTGGTGGAAGACCCAATAAGGCTACCCCTGAGGAGCTGCAGGCTTCAGCAGGAAAAGGGAACACATCGCAGTCGAATTGCTGCAGAGGGGAGGAAGAGAGATGGAAGAGGGCTTCTTCAGAAATTTAAAAAGCTTTTTTAATGTGAGGTAGATGGAAACTTTATGGAGAAACATCACCCTAAAAAGGTTGTTTAACCCCATGGCAACATGTACAGTGAAAAGTCTTGGGCCATTTTTGGGAAGTTTAAAGAGCGCCCCGAAAAAGGCTCTCTGCACAGTTAATTTTTAAGAAAGGGTCCTTGCTCTCAAGGTGGGCCCAGTGGCATTAAGAAACAGAGAAGACAAGAACCCAGAAAAAGCAAAGGTAATTAGGTGTGTGGAAGGGGATTCCCCCTTTCCAAACTATAAACAAACCCCTCTTCCCCCTCCAGTCTCCCTCACTAAAAAGAAACTAATAAAAGGGAAATGTTATGCTGTTAATGTTTCATTCACATTTCCCCTTGTCTGTTTTTTACAAAGATTTTCATGTAAAAATGTTTTTTGTTTTTATTTTTGGGTGTCGGAACGGATTTTTGTATTTACATTTTTCTTATGGGGAAAATTGTTCGTAAATCGTAAATTTTGTTTTTAGTAACGGCTCCAGGAACGGAAAATTAAAAAAAGAAAAATGAGGGACCACGTAGTTTTTAAATTTTTTCTTTTGTTTTTATATATAGTAAACAGCAAAAAAGACTCAAATTAACATGGGGAAATTACAATGAGACAAGTTGAAAGTAATATACGGTTAAGTATAAGTCAAAAGGCGTTTGGGGTTTAAAAAATAAAGAAACAACACAAAGTGGGAGTTGTCAAAGTGCCTTTGTGATGACACTGTGCTCTTGGGGATTTTGAAGGAAATTTCAGAGTTGGTGGATGAATTGGTGGGTGTGCAAAAAAA